ACGGGGGCCGCCCTGGCGGTGTGGCAGCCTGGGGCTGCGGTCGCTTCGCCCTCCAGGAGGGGGAGGGATGCTGACGGCGGGGCGGGGGGGGTAATAGCGGGAATAACAACAAGCAGTTTTGCCCATTAATAGGGATCGGGCACCAGAGGGTGAGGGCGAAGAGTCGTAATGATCACCACCAGTTTTACCTGTTAATAGCGATTAGACACCCGGAGGACGAGGGGCAAGAATAATGATATTAACGATGATGATGATGACGATCGCTTTTGCCCATTAGCAGGGATCAGGCAGCAGGAGGGTGAGGGGGAACAAACATAACAACAGCCAGTTTCACCCGTTAATAGTGATTAGACAGCAGGAGGATAAGGAGGAATAATGATGATGATGATGATGACGATGACAGTCAGTTTTGCTCATTGTTACTAGCCACCAGAAGGAATAACAACAACAACAATAATAATAACCATCCGTTTTGCCCTTGAATGATAATAGTTCTTAGCCACCAGGAGGAGGAGGATGGGGATGGAGGTCAAGATGGATGCTGTTGCTTGCCTGGACCTATGAAGGCAGAGGATGGGCGGGAAAGCCTGGTCCCCCCTGCAGTGGGGATCCGTCCAGCACAGAGAGTTGGGCTCCCGGTCTCATCGTCCCCTTCCAGGGGACGGATTGGGGAGGGGTGGTGGCTGTCCCGGAGGTGCTTGGGAAGAAGGAGTGAGTGGGGTGTCTGCAGATGGTCCAGGAAAGAAAGTCATGGGGTGGGGAGTGGATTGGGGGTCCAGCAGCTTGTGGTGTAGGGTTGGAGTTAGGAGGCCTCCAGGGTCCTCTCTGGGCAGGTAGCTATGCTCTGAAGAAAAGCCCCTAAGAATTCAGGGGGGCTCATGCCCTGATTGGGGCATGCAAGATTGCTCCCTTCCAGCCCAGCCAGATGCTTGTTTGCTCAAAAGTCAGATTTTAGCCAGTAAGCAGGAGCACACCAGTGTCTGCTTTGCCCTTGTGCTGCTGTGTCTCTCTGGAAATTGGTAAGTAAAGATGAGGTGTAATTAGCCTCTCCGAGGCTGGGTGCAGCTACATTTTGGATCCTCTGTAGGGCAGGAAGCTGGCTGTCCGTCCTCTTTGCTTTCTTTCCTCCACGTGATGCTTGGCAGCTTTCTGTTTCATTCCCCAAGCTGAGTTTTCTATTTTCGTTTTTCTGGCTGGTCCTAACTCCCATCCTGTATTATTACCATTAAATCACCCTTGAGCTCTGCTGTGGTTAATCCAGAGTAACTCCCATCTTCTGCTTCCTATCATCATGCAGATTAGACTACATTGAAAAGGGTGTGGGGAAAATCCACCCCTTCTTTGCTACTCACTGTAATCTGTGCTGTGCTTATGACTTAAGTGATTGAAGCAGGTTTATAAAGCACCTCCAGGTTGATGTGGGTAATAAAAACCTCTGAGTAAGAAAAGGAGCATGACAGAAGTCAGTTCCTAATGTCTTACTGACCACACTGACTAATGTCTTACTGACCACAAATGACTAAATATGAGAATGTACCAGCACATTGGCTATTAAATATTTCGATAACTAGGATCTTTCATATATTTATTTTCAAATCCTGGGATTAGGGTCACTAAGGAGTAACTAATATGTGATCTCTTATATGAGTTTGAGAATCTCTCTTTAGACACCCTTGTAATAATTATGTGTACCCAGAAACACCCATGTGCAGAGATGAGGCTTATGAAAGTACTTTTTTTCCATTTTCCCTCCAACCCTTTGACAGGATGCTGACAATTATTGTTCTTGGTATGGAATAAGCTCTATACTCTATGGGATATCTATATTTAAATTAAGAGGTTCTTTTGAGGAACCTGAATTAATAATCTTCCCCCCACACCAAGGTTACAGGAGATCCACATTGTCCCTTTATCAGTTTAGATGTTTATTTTTCTTCCCACTCCTTTTGCACTATATTTATTTATTCAGTTTGTATGACTGCTCAACTCTGGATAGCTGACAATCACTTTAAAAATAATCAAGAATAAGCGAGTAACAATGGTAAATGGCACATCTGTGCTCAGAGTGATAGCCGGGTTTTACCTGAATGGATTTAGAACTGTTAATGGAATCCGTTCTTCCTAGGTGACATGGTGTGGTTCTGGGAGAGAGGTTCCCTTTGAGGGTCCACTTTGGGAGATCCGTGCTTTGCTGATGATGTTTGAGGTTCTGGAGTGCAGTTATGCTATAGCATGAGAAGACAGAGGTCTTTTCAGTGATGTCTGAAAAGTAGCAATGGGATGGTAGGTCAGGTTCTGTTGTATCATGCCATATCATGGCAGAGTATTGCTGATTTTGGTTACTTCTGAAGGTTCCATCTTGTAAGCTCTTTAATCTTCTCTGGTCCATTCTATCTAATTGTCTCTTACTACTGTTCAAAAATAGTTCTTTTAAAACGTATCATTGCTTGGGACCTGCAAATCAGAATGAGGTTTACAAACTTAAGTCCGAGTAAATGCGCATGTCTAGAACTGGCCTTTCAGCTAATTTGTAGGAATCTCTCAGTTGCTAGCGGAGTTTTCTCGGAAATTCCATTTCTTTTAAGAAATTCTCCACTTTTTCAGAGCGCTGTGCCTCTCTTTCTGGAGTGAGCATTTTCTGTTCTATCATTTCCTTTCAACTGACCCGAAGGACTTGCTGTTTGCTGATGCTTAAGTACTCAGTTCAGATTCCACAACTTCTCAGTTCTCCTTTTCTGTGCAACCTGCTGGGTTGTTGTTGCTTGCTATTTTTCCTTAGCCTGCTCCTTAAAAATCCAGAATGGGAAATTTGTAGAGGTTTGAAAACAGCTGGGATATTTCAGAATTGTCAGAGAGGGGGGAAATATTGGGTCAGAATGGGAAGGCTTCTTTAGCTTGTGGCAGAGGCAGTGGCTGGAAAACTGTGGCCAAGGTTGGAAAAAGACTGGGAGAAGTAATGATGTTTGGGGGTTTGAAGTCACCACTGCAATCAAGGTTTTGCACAGCTTTAGAGGGCTGAATGTTACTTGGTTTATGAAAGGTTGGGATAGCAAACTGCTGTGTCATTTCATGTGGCAGTAAGCAAAATATCTCCTGGTGCCATATGGAGTTGTGCATTGAAATTGTATAACTGCAGAGGTGTTAAGAGGGAAGGAGACAGAAAGAGCTAAGAGGAATGTGAGAGGGATACTTTTTGTTCGAGGGCAAAATTGCAGGTTGCTATTATGCTTATGGAACTGTGTAATCAGGTAAGAGGAAGCAAGGCTCTCCTCCTTTGATATTTCAGATAAATTATACAGCTCGTTAAAGAGCTATTCCAGCTGGCTCTCATGTGATCTATCCTGCTCATGATGAAGTATAAAAAAAAACAAACAAACTTACTAGGTTTTGGATTTTTGTAGAAGGCAGGAACCTGTTTTACTCTGAATTAAACTGTTGGCACATTTACTTTATTACTTCCTTGTAGTGCCTTTTCAGGTCACAGATAGTCATCTTTTTCAAGCTCTGCAATAGGAATTGTTCCTGGGAAAGTCTAAATCTGAAAATGGCCCTTCCCCGTAATGTACGTTCCACAAAAATGCTTTGCAGCGTGCTGGTTATAATATGCCAAGCTCTACTGGAGAGAATATAGTTGGGCTTATAGAACATGCTAGGGTTAAGCTGAAATGTGTTTTGTTAGGTCGTGGATCCTAGTTTTGTAGGAATCCAGGTACTGTTTTAATGTGTGATATGAGCCAGCTATAATATGGTGTAGAGGTTAAAGTGTTGGACTAGGTGTGGGAACATCCAGGTTCTCTTCCCTCCTTAGCCACAGAAGCTCATAGAGCGACTTTGAACTAATCATTCTGTCTCAGACTGATCTATCTCGCCAGGTCGTTGTTTTGGTAAAAAAAATGGGAGAAGAGAGTGCTGTGTCTGTTGCCTGGAGCTTCTGAACAAAAAGCTGGATATAACTCAGTCAGGCATATGATTTATGGGAGGGAATAAAGTATAATGTGAAGTTAGCAGTTGTGGGTTTTTGAGGCTTATTATGTTGCACGAACCCAGACGCTCTGTCATTTAGTATTTTGTTGCATATTTAGAATTTTAGACATGTTATAGAAAAGCTTATTACTTAAAATGACTGATAGAAGTAGGCTAATGAAATGCTTTTAAATTAAAATGGTATTTAAGGAATGTCAGCTTTGATAGAAAGTATTTTTTTAAACCCTTCTGAGTGTCAGATGTGTGCAGTCTTTGAAGGGGGCCTATGCAAGTCAGTCTTTCAACCTCCTGGAGAGCAACAGGAACTGTCTAGTGACATTATTAGAGAGGGCAAGACCAATTTTCCTTCCCCTCCCTTTTTTGGGGAGATTTAGGAATGGGAATGGAAGATCTCTGGAAGGCCCAGTTCTCCATTTCTCCCCTTAAAACATCCCCTTCCCAAACCCCTTACTGTGGCCTGAAACATGCTACTGAAAATTGGCCAGTTCAGGGTATCGGGTCCACTAGTTGCCCATCCTTGTTCAGTGGCATACCATCTGGCCCTGGTGTTCCTGACACAGGGGTGTAGAACAAATGAAATCATTCTGGCATACCTCTGCTTAGGTCATACTCGACTTCTTCGTGCCCACATAGATGACAAGGTTTCTTCACAGGTTTGGTTAGGCTTATTTCAATTGAACAAGCTCCCTTTTGGTGCATTTACACAAACCAGAGGGCATTCAGAACCCTAAATATGCATAAATGCATTCAGAACCCTAAATATGGATACCAACATCGCTGGTGGAGAAAAGGAGTCTTCTTTCTTTCTTGGCTTCTGTGTATGTTTATTCTCTGAAGTGCTCTCGTGTTTGGGAGTTCTTGTTCACTCCCTCCTGACCAGGTTTATGGGAATCTCTGGACTGGTGCAGTGCTAGCAGCATTGTGGCTTGTGCCAGCCATTGTGCAAAATTGATCATTTTGAGCTTCCCCAGAAAGAAATAGCGGATGCTGTCATATAG